CATGTATATCTGATGATCTTGTAAGAAAACGTGACACAAAAATAGAAGCTATTATTTACATATACTCTAATTAACGTTTTTTTTTTTTTTGGGAAAAAAAGGAAAAAAACAATGTTTCAATCATGTTGAATAGTCATGGTTAATATGGAGAACATAGAGATTCGACCATTTCTCATGTTTAATGAGATATACTCACCATGATTTCCTCCATATTTGGTTTTCTAATCTGAGGAGCATATCCATGATTCCACCATGCCTTCACCTCTAGTAGTTGCATTTTCCGGCCCTTTACCGCCACGAAAATCTGAGGAAGAACCTGAGAAGCTGAGTTTCCCATTGCCATGGATGGACTTTAACAGACCTTGATCATGATTCTCATGCGATCCTGCTCCTGCGTCTCCCCATCTCGGGGGATTAGTAATGTTGTCACTCCTTGGCAAGGACCCGTCCGGTGATATCATGTTTTGAAGCCCACTAAGAGTCGTGCCACCATGACCATGGCTCAGCCCGAACTCATCCAACACACCCATTCTGAGAGAGGAGTCACTTGATGGGATGTCTAAAGATCCTTGGAGCTTGGTCCCCAGAATACCTGAATCAGAAAGTGGATACTTGGGAGGGGGTTGAAGGAGAGACTGGAAATTAAGAACTGGGTTTTGCAGGAGATTCTGAGGAGGCGGCTGCTTTAAAAGGCCTAACTGATCAGATGGAAGTTGGAAGTTAATGGAAGTTGAACTGGAAGTACCATTGTTGTTAGTCCTAGTTGTAGCAGCTATAGCATCAACCATTGAAGAAGATGATGAAACAAATTGGGGTTGCTGGATTTTTTGAGGATATGGTCTCAAAAGATACGGAGGATGTGAAGGGTCCAAATGGGGTGTTGATCTCATGGAAGATGCCATTCCAAATAGATCCAGCCGGCTTCTTGGAAAAGGTGAGGTGAAGGGTGGTGCAGGGATCCCCGTGAACTCCTGAACCATAGCTCGGAAATTGGTGGTGTCTGTTGTCAAAACCGTTGTGGGTGCACGCCTGGAAGCTCTGGATCTCTTCTTTGGGTTCCGAACCATGTTGTTGCTGGTGTTGTTGTTGTTTGCAATTTGGTCACTCGTGCCTGAAACTGAACCTGAGACTGTCCCCTTTTCTGGTACTCCTTGAGAGATGTGTGCAGGAGGAAAACCCCCACCACCTCTGTTTTGGCCCTGTTGGTTGGTCAACAACTGTTGGGTAGTAGGTGTGGCCGCCATGAACCCACCAAGTTCATTGCAATTGGACTCGGATCTTAGACCTTTCGCCCAAACCATATCAAGATTAAGGAGAGAATTTGGGTTTGCAGATGATCTTGATGAAGGATCAAAGTATAAAGAGTCAAACATAGATGCAGAGGAATGAGTCTGGTTGTGTGGTGGTGGTTGGTTGTGGTTGGGGATGGATGGGGTGTTGTTCAAGAAAGCTGAGATTGAGTCAGCGGCGCGTGAATCATACTCCTCACTGCCACCACTGGAAGATTGAATACTACCACTGTTACCAGAATCCATGAGACAGAGAGTTGCAGAGGAAAGATTTTTGCTTACTAATACAGTATCATTTAAGAAGCTACAAAATAAACCATGAGGTAAAACAAAAAGAAGGAGAAATATGTGTGCTGGAAGAAAAGGTATCAGAGAGTACCCATGTTGTCTTTAAGGTTCTGATCTGCAAAGAAGACAGAGGATTGCTTGCTTTTACTTTGTCTTTGGGCAAAAGAGGAACTACCAGCTCAGGGATCATGAAATTGATAGGTGCAGAGGAGAAGGGTAAATGGAATTGAGTTACTATGTTGTTTTGGCTTTTAGCCTTGAATGGGGGTAAGATGAATTAGGGTTTTTATTGCATTGGGGTTCGGTAGAAAGGAAGGAAAAAGGGGATGTTTTTTTTTCCTCTAGCCTTTTCTTCTCTAAAAAAGAGGTTGCTTCTGTTCGTGGCTCCACCCAAAAAAAGATTAGGGGTGGGGTACCAATGTGTGTTTGTGATGGGTCAGGCCCATTTTGGTCAAAGTAAGAGAGATGTGTGGTTTCTGATCCACCATGTGAGAACAAGAAAGATGCATTCAGATTTTGTGCTGGACAAAAAAATGGACAATTTGTTTTATTAATGATCAGTAATATAGTATAATTGAAGGTAAAATTTACATTACATGAATTTTTTTTTTAAATCTACTTTAAAGGTTAAAAATGTAATACTTTAACTTAAAGATTTTGAAATTCAAATTTTAAGACTAATGAAGGAAATAAAAGAAATTTTTTTTATTTTTTATTATATAATTTATCATTATGATATACTAAAAAAAATTTTACTTCAAAGGTATTAGATAAAAAAATAATAATATTGATTTAAACAAGAAAGTAATTTTTGGTTAGGAATAATATATGAGGTGGGCAAGCAAACAAATATAGGAAGATGGTTGTTGAATGATATAAAAGGAAGATAACAACCATCACTAGCCTTACTTTTCAAAACCTATAAAATCCCAAATAAAATAACTAGTAATGATATTTGCTCAAAATATGTTTGTTGATGATAATCATGAAACATTAAATGAGTTGTGTATATTAATTTATTTATCTCTCTAAATGAAAACAACCGATAAAAATTATGCAAAATTATTTTTGTTATTTACACTATATAATAATAAATAAAAAAATATTTTTTTAAAACTTTGTGTTTAAATTTTATGTTTGGATGTAATATAATAGGAAAAATGTAAGCATCATGTTTTATATTTGGCATGTTCAAAAAAAATATTTATTTAAGAGGTTAGTGTTTATTAACCTTGATTTCAAAAAAAATTAAAATTTTAATTTATATTTAAAAATTAAAATTAAAATTTAAAAATTACAAATATAATCAGTTTTTAAATTTAAATATTAATATTTAATAAAATAAAATTTTAAATTTTAAATTATATTTTAATTAAATAAAATAAAATAATTTAATATTAAAACTTAAATTTTTTAATAAGTCATGATTGATATACATTTTTTTATTTAATATTATTCAAAAAATTTATATATTTGGTGTAAGTAGCACAATAAATAATTAACAAACAATCCATTAAAACTCCCAACTACAGTTTTTGACCGATTCAAAAATGTAATTAAAAATATTGGAAGAGCTTTTAGAAAAAATCGTAATCTAGTGTTACAAACATATTGAAACGGTAAAATGTACACAAAAAATCTTAACTATTTAATAACTTCATACACAACTTAATTACGTGGTTCACGTGTTACATAATTTTTTTTTGTTATTTGTGGCATAGATAATTATATCTCTTGTATAGTCAGGTTTAGGTTCATGGTAATGGTTACTAATTTATTTGTTAAAATTATTAAAATTATATTTAATTTAATTAATATTTTTAAAATTTTAAATAAAAAGTTATGATATTTAAAAATATGAATTTATAAATTAATTTTAATTTATTAAATAGTAAATATTAGTTGTTGTATTAATTTTTAATCATTCTTAATAATCAAATTAAATATGTATAAAAAATAATATTATTAAAAAAAATTAATATTTTTTTAACATAATTTTGGTAGCATTAACTAATGAATTGGTAGTCACAACTACATTTTCAAGTTTACAATTTAAGTAATGAGACCAATATTTAAGGATATCAATTTCCATAACCTTATATTATTTAAGTCGATGGGAATGTAAGGGAGGGGAGGAGAATTGTTCCCCTCCGTTCTCCTTCATTCACCTCTCATTTTTTCTTTTTCTTTCTTTTTTTTTTCATTTGAATAAGTAATTAAATTAAAATAAAGAAAAGTAGATTTTTCTCCTTCCATTTTCTTTGATTATTTTATAACTAAATAATAAATTTTTTTCCCTTTCTTTTCCTTTACTTTCCTCAAACTAAATATACTATAAATGCACCAATACGATACAAGGGAGTACATTGTTAAAATCGCTTAGGAAAAAAATAATTTCGATATGCATAGCTACTTTAACTATAAATAAAAAAAATTATTTATTTAAGAGTTATTACTAATAATATTTTATTTATTTATTTCATTTTTTATCTAGATTAATATTTCTTTAAATTAAAATTTACATATTTTAAAATTAATTCAATTTCATACTATATCAAAAATACACATTCACCTCAACTTAATATATTTAAAAAAAATTAAAATTCTTGAATGTTACCCCTACAACTTAAATCCTATATTTAATCTATAAAACCGCATTTACCTGAATTGAACGTGAAATTCATCCACTCAATTAACTGGAATTATGAATGAAGCTTTTACAGTCAAAATTATGAAACATCTCCAAATTGAGAGACCTCAGAGAATATTCTTTTACAGTAGTCCCCCCTGTAGAAGTGGACAAGGAAAATCATGATATGTTGCCTGGTATCTTCTACTTTTTCCGAACGCGGTTTTCTCCCTACTTTTCTACTTCTGTCGTCTTATCTCCGCTATTAAATATATATTTTATTTTTTACTGTTCATATGAATAAAATAATGTCCAAGAAAAATCCTATTTATTTCGTATGGATAGATCGGCTCAACGACACCCTGAGGGATTTTTTATTTTTTAATTTTTAAGCGAAAACGACACCCAGATAAGTTCGGTGCAACTATCTAAACTAAAAACAAAGCTTCAACAGTATTTTCCCCTAATTTTTTATGGGACTACAGAAAAAATAAGAAGTTTCTATCATTTAAATATTAAAATTGATAATAAAAAATTAAATTTTTTAATAGAATATAAATTATATATATTTATAAAAAAATTTAATAATTTATTTTTTTAATAATTGAAGTTTATTTATATTTATAAAAATAATTATTTTTATCTAAAAAATTATAATAAATATCAATAATTAAAAATAAAAAATAAAAAATTAAAATTTTAATTAAATATAATGTATAATATTTATATGTAACTGAAATTTTCTTCTTTTTAATAAATTAATATATTAAAAAATGTATTAAAAATATTTAAATAATGTTATAAAAATTTTAATATTTAAAATATTAAAATATTTTTTTTATTTTTAATACTATTTTATATTATATTTAATAATAATATTTCTCATAATAAATAGTAGACACAATTAACTTGACTTAAATGACTTGAGCAGGTTCTTAAATTATTTCACTTTCAATGGACGTTAAACATTTCTGCTTAATATTAAATATGTTTCATCTAAAATAAATAGATTTTTCGTAAATTTTTTTCATTCCCACATTTTCTTTTACTTAAAAAATAATTATAATAACTTAAGCTATATAATAAAAGTCTCTGTTATTATATATATATATTTGTAAATTTTTGTTTTAAATTTTTTTGACAATTTATATAAAATTTTATCTTTTAATTAATATTTTCAAAAATTAATTATTAATTTAAAAGTTCTATTTATATAAATTATACA